ACTTCCAAAATATACTCTATCCTATCCATTTTATACTAACAACCATTATCATTATAGTGTAAAACAGTAGATGTAAATAAGCAGTTTTTATATATTGTATGTACAAGCTTTATTTCATTTATTCACCATGACAGATTAAAGGAATAATTGTCAGAGCTGAAATGAGTTTATAATGTGTATTTGTGAATGCATTTATATATCTTAAAGGTCAACATTCCCAAGACGAACATATAAAAGCAGAAACTTAGACTATATATATATCATTATTGAGATAGTTGGCTGACAAGAAAGCATCAGTTAAACAGAAAAGAAACTTGTTAATACAGAGAGGAGGGTTTTTACCATTACTTGTAGCACCAATACTTTCATTATTTAGTGGTTTGGTAGAATGGACTACTGGTAAAGCTGTTGAAATTTAAGACTATGGAAGCACAAAATGAATGATTCTCTTCCCTTAAGAACTGCCACACCCACTTTATCAACCCAAGGTTTATGAAAGACCAGTACATAAAGTATTAAACTCTATAGATAATGATATGAGTTCTGTCATAAAAAAATGATATGCTGCAAATAGACGATAAAGCAAAGATGATAAAACACCTGCAACAACCTCACCATGCCTTTCATTTACAAGGTGCCCCTCCCCAGTGTCACAGCGGTATGTCTGCGTACTTAAAACGCTAGAATCCGGGTTTCGATACCCGTTGTGGGCAGAGCACAGATAGCCCATTGTGTAGCTTTGTGCTTAATTACAAACAAACAAATTCCTGAGAAGCATAAAAAAGAAAGCTGAAATCATATTAAATAAGATATGCTCGATTGGGGATCTAAAGTGGAATGATCGAGGAGAATTAGTGATTAGTGGAAAATCTGTCCCAAACAGCAACAATGATGTAATTCCTGATCAACAATGTAATACGAAATTGAAATAATTTTAACCCTACAGGATGGAAAGAATTTGCAGAACGATTATCAGATATGAATATTCACTAAGAAGTTATTGGAAATGTAGACAGATTGATGTAAATGACGCATGGAGATCACGCTACACGTGTTATGAGATCCAAAAGTTCTATATATATATATATAAATGGGTTCATTTTAAATAAAGTAGCATTGTATTATTTATCCATTTATTTCTTGACTGTCATCATGAACTGTTGTCAGCCTTATAAGTTTAGCAGTTTCTTGAGTCTTGATTCTCCAAACATTTCTCAATTGTCTGCCATCATAAAACGTTAAGTATAACTATATTACTGGTTATTCAGCGTGGATCAGCTGTATGTGACATTACATAGTAACAGTTCTATGAACAATTTTACCAGCAATACTATGACAAACTATGTCACTCATCTTCAAATACCTATCAACTTTGAAGGTTCATGGGAAGTGGCCTTGGCTAAAGTATAGTATCCAAATAGCTGATATAACATGCGTAATGGTACAGAATGCTTATCCTAATTTTCCGATCCTCACATACTTTGCTACCATAACCAATTATATTAGACCAAGTCAACACAAATACCTTGAAGATCTAATTAGAATCTTAAACCAAGAAGAAGAATCTCTTTCTATACCTGA